TCTATCATTAGTAAATGTCAAATGCAATGAAGTGTTTTTCTGACTTACTTTCTTCCTGATATAATGGAAGAAAACACTAATGAGTATGGAATCCTGAAATGATTTTCAATCCAAAATCAATAGAATCAATTCAGTGTCTGTTTATAAGCTTAGTTTTATTCATTTTATTTTCTTTGCATTTGGAGAAGGTATTTCCACTTTGTATTTCTTACTACACTTCTGCTACTTGGTTCAGTTTCTTTCTCTCCCTAAGAGCTTCTGGGTGACAAATCCCTCCAGTTCGATTGTGTTTCTGGATTTGAGTCAGAATGGTGTTGAAGATCCTGCTCCATGTTGAAACTTAAGTATTATCAGTATTATTTGAAAGCTTCTATTTTTTTTTCTTGAAAGCTGTTCTCTCATTCCACCCTGATCTCTTTTTTAAAATGTCAGTATTTAATGGCTCTCCAATTCTGTGGTTTCTAGCAGTTTCCTGTAACATTTTAATCATAATATAATGGAGCTTTGATTTTTGCTCTCTCAAAGATTAAATACACCCACAGTGTGAAATGGAACTAGTTTCTTTACTGTCAAAATAAAATTAACATCTTTTGAAAAGGAGATGCCAACACTGGAAGAGGTCAAGAAGAAAGAGGTAAAAGTCACAGTTTTCAACACGATGTTATTCAGTGTCTGTGTTGAAAACACGCCTGACAGGAAAGGTCAAGGTCACCTTTCAGCAGTGTCTGTGGTATATTGGTCCCCTACTGAGAAACGAGGGTGCAGCTGTCTGTTGTGGAGAAAAGACGGTGGGCATGGGGTCCCCAGCCTGTGAGAATGATACTCAGTCAATGCCAGCAAAGAAAGCAAGCCATATAAAGTGACTTAAAATAGGCAAGAGAGAGAGAGAGAGAGAGAGAGAGAGAGTGCGCTACATTTACTGATAATATATTCTAGAAGAACCCAAGCCAAAATGGGAATTTTTTTCTAAAGAGACAGACTAATTATAAGGAATTCTATAATTTAGAGAATTAAACACATTACAAACTCTCCTTGTTTTTTTAAGCACAGTCTTTGGGAATTTCTTTCTGGTACTTTTATCTATGTCCTCTAACTTTCTTTTTATCACAATTGGACAAACAGTAAACTGAATTAAATCCAATGACTACCTAAGAATGTCAAAATAAGTTCAAGATTGGCTTCGTTCTGCCTAACAGATTTGTGTGTGTATCCCAATGATATTCATTTTGTTATATCTATGTTTATATCTAGCATATATACTTTATTTTTAATATTTATAAAAGAGTAGTAATTAAAATACAATAAAACTTTCAGATAATTATCAGGTAATGTCATATATGAATGCAATTAGGAGCATTGCATTTCTATTACTATGGTTTTATAAATTAAGTAACATTTAGGTGATATTTATAAATAATTTTTACAATTGGAATTTTTAATATTTTTTCTGATGTGTTTTAAAAGATTTATTTATTTATTTGGCAGATTACAGAGAGGCAAAGGCAGAGGTGGAGAGAGAGAGATCTTCCATCTGTGGTTCACTCCCCAAATGGCTGCAATGGCCAGAACTGGGCTGATCCAAAGCCAGGAGCCAGGAGCCAGGAGCCAGGAGCTTCTTCCCCATCTCCCACGTGGGTGCAGGGGCCCAGGGACTTCGGACATCTTCCAGTGCCTTTCCAGGCCATAGCAGAGAGCTGGCTCAGAAGTAAAGCAGCCAGGACTCAAATCGGTGCCCATATGGGATGCCAGCACTGCAGGTGCTGGCTTAACCTTCTTCGCCACAGTGCTGGCCCCTTTCCTGATGGTTTCTAATGTCACCTACAATATTAAAGATATTAGGCTTTGGTGTCTTATTTTCTGATATTTTATCATCTTATTTTCTGACATTGCAATTTTATTTATTATACTTTTCTGTATTCAAGGAATTGTCAAGTTTTCATGTGATAAAAAATCTGTATTTCTACCTTTTCCTGTTTTTGGTCATTGGTAGTATATTCTGAAAGGTTTTTCTCACCATATTTGCTTATGTCTGCTATATTGGGTACTATAATATGTTTTCACCTTAATTTGACACTGTATTTTCTCTAATTCTACCCAATAAACACATTCTAACCAGGCAAGCCTTATCCCTGCTTCAGAGAATATGGGAACAGGCATAGTAGTTAAGACATCATGTGTGATGATTGCAACCCAATATCAGAGTGCCTGGATTTGAGTCAGTTCTGTTTCTGATCCTGCTTCCTGCTAATGTACACTCAGGGAGACAGTAAGTGATAACTCAAGTATTTGGGTTCCTGGCACCTGAAGGCCCATATTGGATTTTGGGCTCCTGGCTTTGGCCTGTGCTGCTCCTCCGCACGCGGAGGAGCCGCACCGGACCGGACGCTTGTTGTTCCCCTTTTTTACAAGTCTTTTCTATAGTAAAGTAAGAATAAGTAAACAGCGAACTCCCAAAGCAAGAATGAGTAGAGAGAAATGAGAAAGAACGAAGCAACGAACTTCCCCGCGAACTCTCCAACGCACTCTCCAACCAACCCACACCACCATGCTGTCTCTCTCCTCCTATATAGTCCTCTCCACCAATCCGTGCTCTGCTACCCACACGCCGAGTACGCTGCTCTCCTCCAATCAGGAGCAGGATCAGCTCCTGCAGGTCATCACTCAAGTTGGTGAGAGGCAGCTGGGTAGAAGCTGTTTACTCCTCTCCTAGCGCCATATTGTGGGAGAGCAGATGCATAGAATAAGTCTTAATTCCAGTAACAGTCTAATCCGAGTTGCTCCCCACAGGCCTGGACCAGTTGCAAGCATTTGGGGAGTGCACTAGCAGATGGGAGTTTCTCTTGCTCTGTCTCTTTTTCCCTGTTTTTCAAATAAGTCAATAATTTTTAAAAAGATTTATTTTTTAAAGATTTATTTATCTGAAAGTCAGAGTTACACAGAGGAGAGGCAGAGAGAGAGAGAGGGAGAGAGAGAGAGGTCTTCCATCCAATGGTTCACTACCCAATTGGCTGCAACTGCCGGAGCTGTGCCAATCTGAAGCCAGAAGCCAGGAGCTTCTTCCGGGTCTCCCACGCGGGTGCAGCAGTGCAAGGCCTTGGGCCATATTCTACTGCTTTTTCACATCATAGCAGAGAGCTGGATCGGAAGTGGAGCAGCCAGGTCTCACGAACTGGCGCCCATATGGGATGCCGGTGCTTCCAGCCAGGGAGTTAACCCATTGCACCACAGCTCCGGCCCCATCAATAATTTTTAAAAGGGCAGAATATAATTGGTGCTGGTTTAGGAAAAGCCACAGCCTTAGTTAATTCCATTTCACACCCCAACATCCTCTCAGAATCATTCACTAATCCTCAATTTCCTTTGATCACACTTATATGAACTTATAGGAGCCAAATAAGAAATGCCACACAAATTAGGAGAGTTGTGAGCAATCCTGTCTTTCCTTGTTGTCCATTATAGAGTACAAACATTCAAACAAGAGGATATCTGTGTGTACATGAGCCTGTCCAGGTAGTGACAAGTATTTTCATGGCCATCCAACACTTGAAAGTGTGCCCTTCAAGGGCTGAATATTCAGCCATAAGGGGAGCAGAGGTGCATAATAGGTAACAAGGAGGCATCTCTAGAATAAGAGAGAAAAGAGATCCAGACTGCAATTGCAGAGGTTTATGTGTCAGTCCAAAATGCACCTGAAGTGTACTAGGAAAGGAATGCTAGACTCCCATCTCTGGGGAAAATGGCAAAGCGTTTGGATTATAAGTGATGCCCTAGATCCTGAGAAAACAAAGGGGCAAGAGTTGGTTGAATTGAAGAACAATTTCTTCAGCTGTAGTGTACAGTGGATGTGATGAATATGGAGCCATTTCAGCGAGGTATCTGCCCCTAATTACAGTTTTACTATTGCATGTCATCTCTTCTCTAGGCATAGGACATTATTCTTGTAATCTGCCATCTCCCACCTCACGTAGACTGCCTCTCCACACTTCACAAACAGTCAATGTTAATTGACCACTTTTTTTTTAAGATTTTATTTATTTATTTGAGAGGAAGAGTTACAGACAGTGAGATGGAGAGACAGAGAGAAAGGTCTTCTGTCCATTGGTTCACTCCCCAAATGGCCGCAATGGCCAGAGCTGCACCGATCCAAAGCCAGGAGCCAGGAGCTTCTTCCTGGTCTCCCACGCGGGCGCAGGATCCCAAGGACTTGGACCATCTTCCACTGCTTTCCCAGGCCATAGCAGAGAGCTGGATTGGAAGAGGAACAGCCGGGATTAGAACCGGCGCCCATATGGAATGCCATTGCCACAAGTGGAGGATTAACCTAGTGTGCCATGACGCCGGCCCCTACTTGACCACTTTTTGTATATTATGCTTTGGGTGAAGCCCTTTACATGAATTATTTCCTGCAACTCTGAATCATAGAGGAGTTTAGTTTACAGGGATTCAGGAGCTTGTCCATGTCCCCCAGCTGTCTGACAGCAGAGCAGAAGCTGAAACCCAGATCTATCTGACTCAGACATCCACAGAAAACACGTAGTTTAGTTCTCATTTTTGTAGTGGAATATACCAAGACTGAACTGTAAGCCCTGTGAAAACAGGCTCCTTTTCATAAACTCTGTTTTTCCCTTCACAATGTCTTGTACTTAGTAGATGGATGATAGACACAAAATGATGGAGCTAATATATCCTCTGGTTTTAAGCTACACAGAAAGGCACAGATTTTTAGATAGGTATAATCTTTCCTTTTGCTTTATTTTCTATATGCAGATGCTGCTTAATAGGAGTGAAGATATGCAGAAAATACTTTGAGCTAGATCTTTACCAAGAAAGAACTTTGAGAATCTTGTGGTGCTGCCATATGGAAATCTTTAGGAAAAACAAGATTAGAAAAGATAGCTATACATTGCAGATTCCAGACTGTGTTTGGACTGTTACCAGAATTTTTAATTTCCCACAGAATGGATTGCTTTATTTCTAAAATTATCATTGTTATTTTTTAGGATACAGCAGGCCAGGAAAGATACAGGACTATCACCACAGCCTATTATCGTGGGGCCATGGGCTTTATTTTAATGTACGACATCACAAATGAAGAATCCTTCAATGCAGTACAAGACTGGTAAGTTATTCCAAATACTCCCATTACTAACAATGATGGTTTTCCATTCAATTCTCTCTTCTTCCCCAAAGCAATGAGCGTACTGTATTGTCTTATGTTTTCTTATTATAGAATGCAATCCCACCCATGCTTCATAAAACAAAGAAATGCTAAGTCATGCACAGAACCATTTTCTTAGGGATTGGTAAGAAGTCATTTTGATAATTTTTCTACATTTTACACATTCCAGTGCTTGGCATCCTCTTCTCCTTGCTTCTGTGGAGAATGGTGCAGTGTTTTTGATTTTTTAAAATATAAATAATGAACAGGTTGGAAGTTTGCTGATGTAAAATGGGGATGTAGAAACTATTGCCCAGTACCAAATCTAGCCTTTAGATAAAGTTGTTTTGTAAATAAAGTTTTATTGAGTGCAGCCAGATGCACTTGTTTATTGTATGTGGCTGTTTTTGCACTATAACAGCAGAGTTAAGGAGTTGCAACAAAAGCCATATGGCTTACAAAGCCTAAAATATTTTATGTCTGGCCATTTACAGAAAAAAATTTGTCCATGCCTTGTCTAGAGGATTTGTTAAATAGCTTATTCAAGCACAAGAGTTTCAAAGGACTAGGTGAAGCAAGAGATAAATTGCAAAGCCCTTTCTGACTCATAGACACATGAAATCATCTGAAAATACCTTTGTCCATGGTGAGTGTGATTTCCAACAGATTTGTGCTAAGACTGCAGACCCCTTCATCCTGTTCTGCCAGCATCTTGCTGGGAGACATGAAGAACCAAGGACAGCGGTCATGAATTCCAGCAGCAGAGCTGTGAAGAGGGCAGGTATGCTTTGGAAAGAGCCAGAATCTAGCCAAAGCTTTGTGTGATATTGCAAAGGAAGTGGAGCTCCCACTGGTGGTGACTAGGACTGACTGAACCGATACCAAATACAGTCGTGGTCATGAGGAAGCACTGCCTATACACAAGCAAAATCAACAGCATTTTCTCCTTTTATTTATACTAATACATGGGTACTTCAAAAAGTTCATGGAAAATGCAATGAAAAATAAATTTATTTTGGTACAAAAGTTTTTTTAAATTGATGCATTTATTAAAAAGTTTTAAAGTTTAAATTGACACATTTATTAAAAGTTTCATTAAATTGATACATTGCTGTAATCCTGTTTGTCTATTTTAGCTTTGATTATCTGGAATTTTGGAGTCTTTTCCAAGAAGTCTCTGCCTATGCCAGTGTCTTGCAGAGTTTCCCCAATGTTTTTTTGCTCATAATGCATAATTTTCCTGAAATTTTTGGGATTTTTTAATTTTTTTATTTAAGGTAAACAAATTTCATGTATTTCATATATACAGACTTAGGAATATAGTGATACTCCCACCCTACCACCCTTCCACCCATGCTCCTGCCCTTCCTCTCATAGTTCCTCTCTTATTTTTTACAATGATCTACTTTCAGTTTACTTTATACATATAAGATTAACTTTACTTACTCTTTAAGTGAAGAGTTCAACAAATAGTATCAAGGAAAAAATGCTGTTCTTCAATAGTAGAGTCAAGGGCTGTAAACAATCATGGAATCTCAAATGTCAATTTCACTCTTACACATTTCATTTTTGGTACTATATTAGTTACCTCAGATCATGGAAAATATATGGCATTTGTCTTTTTGGGACTGGCTTATTTCACTAAGTATAATGGTTTCCAGTTGCATCCATTTTGTTGCAAAACAAAGCATTTCATTTTTTATGTCTGAGTAGTATTACATACTATATGTGTATCTATATACAAATATATAAACGTTTATTATATATATATATATCACAATTTGCTTATCCAGTCATCAGTTGATGGACATACCTTAGCTATTGTGAATTGAGATGTAATAAACATGGAAGTACAGATAACTCTCAAATGCTGACTTCATTTCCTTTGGCTAAATTCCCAGGAGTGGAATGGGTGGGTATATGGTAGATGTACTTTAAGCATTCTGAGGTATCTCCACACTGTCTTCCATAATGGCTATACTGGTTTACATTTTCATCAACAGTGGATTTAGAGTATCCTTTTCCTCCACATCCTTGCCAGCATTTATTGTTTGTAGATTTCTGTATGAGAGCCATTCTAACTTGGGTGAGGTGAAACCTAATTGTTGTGGTTTTGATTTGTTTTTTTTCCCTGATGGCTAATGATCCTGAGCATTTTTCCTGTGCCTGTTGGCCATTTGAATTTCCTCTTTTGAAAAATTCCTGTTCAAGTCCTTTGTCCATTTCTTAACTGGATTGTTTGTTTTGTTGTTGATGAATTTCTTCAGCTCTTTATAGATTCTAGATATTAATCCTTTTTCAGTTGCATAGTTTGCAAATACTTTGTCACATTCTGTTATTTGCCTCTTCACTATTTTGAGTGTTTCCTTTGCAGTGCAGATGCTTCTCAGCTTTATGTAATCCTATTTGTCTATTTGGGCATCGATTGTCTATACTTCTAGTCTTAAGAAATCTCTGCCTTTGGCAATGTCTTGCAGAGTTTCCCCAGTGTTCTTTTTTAAATTTATTTATTTATTTATTTATTTTTATTTATTTGACAGAGTTACAGACAGTGAGAGAGACAGACAGAAAGGTCTTCCTTCCATTGGTTCAACCCCCAAATGGCTGCCATGGCTGGTGCTGCGCCGATCTGAAGCTAGGATCCAGGCGCTTCCTCCTGGTCTCCCATAGGGGTGCAGGGACCCAAGCACCTGGGCCATCCTGCACTGCCCTCCCAGGCCACCGCAGAGAACTGCACTGAGAGAGGAGCAACTGGGACTAAAACCCAGTGCCCATATGGGATGCTGGTGCCGCAGGCAGAGGATTAGCCAAGTGAGCCATGGAGCCAAGCCCCACAGTGTTCTTGTCTAGTAATTTGATGGTATCAGATCATAGATTTAGATCCTTGATCCATTTTGAGTTGATATTTGTATAGGTGTAAGGTATGGGTCCTATTTCTTACTTCTGCACATGGAGATCTAATTTTCCCAGCACCATTTGTTGAAGAGATTGTTTATTTCCTGGGATTGATTTTAACTCCTTTATCAAAGATTAGCTAGTTATAGATGTATGGCTTGATTTTTGGAGTTTCTATTCTGTTCTATTTGTCTACATGTCTGTTTTTGTGCCAGCACCAGGCTGTTTTGATTCTAACTGCTCTGTAGTATGTCTTGAAATCTGGTGTTGTGATTCTTCCAGCTTTGTGTTTCTAATGCAGTCATACTGCAGTGATGTTTCAAGTTAATGACAGACTGCCTAGATGACATAATATATACCATACAGCCTATATGGTACTAGACTATACCATCAAGGTTTATGTAAATACATTCTATGATGTTCACTCGATGACAAAATTGTTGAACACATTTCTCAGAACATATACTTGTGTGAAGTGACACATAGCCATAGCATGAAGTTCAACCTACAAGTTAAGATGCTTTGTTTTGACTATAACTGCCCTGTGGTATGTCTTGAAATCTAGTATTGTGACCGGCGCTGTGGCTCACTTGGCTAATCCTCCACCTGCAGTGCCGGTGCACCGGGTTCTAGTCCCGGTTGGGGCGCTGGTTCTGTCCTGGTTGCTCCTCTTTCAGTCCAGCTCTCTGCTGTGGCCTGGAAAGGCAGTGGAGGACGGCCCAAGTGCTTGGGCCCTGCACCCGCATGGGAGACCAGGAGGAAGCACCTGGCTCCTGGCTTCGGATCGGCACAGCGCACTGGCTGCAGCGGCCATTTGGGTGGTGACCCAATGGAAGGAAGACCTTTCTCTCTGTTTCTGTCTCTCTCACTATCAAACTCTGCCTGTCCAAAAAAAAAAAAAAAATCTGGTATTGTGATATCTCTAGCTTTGTTTTTGGTGTTTAAGATTGCTTTAACTATTCCAGATCTCATTTTTTATACAAATTTTAGCATCAATTTTCTAGATCTGAGAAGAATGTCATTGGGTATTTTTATTGAAATCACATTGAATCTGTAAATTGCCTTTGGTAGTATGGACATTTTGATATTAATTTGTCCATTCCATGAACATGGAAGATGGAAGTTTTTTTCCTTTTTTTTTTTTTTTTTTGTATTTCTGTTTATTTCTTTAGTGGTTTTGTAATTTTCATCATAGAGATTTTTCACCTCCTTGGTTAAATTTATTCCAAGGTATTTAATTATTTTTGTTGCTATTTTGAATGAGATTGATTTTAGAAATTCTTTCTCAGCCATGGCATTTTCTGTGTATACGAAGGATATTGATTTTGGTGTGTTAATTTTCTATCCTGCCACTTTACCAAGATCTCTAATGTATTCCAATATTCTGTTAGTGGAGTCTTTTGGTTCCACTATAAAGGATCATGTCATTTGCAAACAGGGATAATACAATTTGTATACCATGGATTTCTTTGTCTTGCCTAGTGGCTCTGGCTAAAAATTCCAGAACTGTATTGAATAGCAATAGTGAAAATGGGCATCCTTGTCTGGTTCCAAATCTTAGTGGAAATGCTTCCAACTTTTTCCCGTTCAATAAGATTTTGGCTGTGGATTTGTCATAATTTGCCTTGATTATGTTGAGGAATGTTCCTTGTATACCCAATTTGCTTAAGGCTTTTAGGGTAAAGGATGTTGTATTTTATCATATGTTTTCTCTGCATCTGTTGAGATAATCATATGGTTTTTTCTTCAGTTTGTTAATGTGATGTATCACATTTATTGATTTGTGTATGTTGAACCATCCATGTGTACCAGGGATAAATCCCACTTGACCTGGGTGAATGATCTTTCTGATGTGTTTTTGGATTTAGCTAGTTTGTTTGTTTGTTTGTTTGTTTTCAAAGATTTTTACATCTATGTTTCTCAGAACTGTTGGTCCATAGGTCTCTTTCTTTGTTGTATCTTTTTCTGGTTTTGGAATTAAGTTGATGCTGACCTCATAGAAGGAGTTTGGGGAAATTCCCTCTTTTTTTCTTGAGAAGAATTAAATTAGTTATTCTTTAAAAGTC